CGACGATGTTTTTTAACTGCGAAGTTTTTGAACCGCTTTATTTTCGACGACGATGTTTTTTAACTGCGAAGTTTTTGAACCGCTTTATTTTCGACGACGATGTTTTGTACCACGATGTTTTAGAACTGCGATGTTTTCTCTTTGCGATGTTTTCTCCCACGATGTTTTGTAGCACGACGATTTCGCCTTGCGTTGTTTTCTCTGCGACGTTTTTGTCCGCGATGCTTTCGCCGCGATGTTATCGGCGGACACCGTTAACCCACAGTTCATCTTTTTTTCCCCAAGTGAGTACGATTGTAGAATCTGTCCAGCAATATGTATTTCAGTGTGAAATTCTGCCGTTATAGTTGAGGCAGGACGAGAGGCAATTGTGGCTGCCAGTAACTCTAACCTCGCGATTAGTGGTTCCTTTTTTTCCGCACTGTGAAACTCTACGCCTAGCTTGCAAGAATCGTACTTTCAGATCATTTTGGCTATCGATTCGCATAACTATTACTACAGTATAAGCTAGCGAAGGATCATATTTAAGCATGAACCTTATTAAGAGTAAATTGAGAAGTCGTCTTACTGATGGAGTCATGCTTAAAATTAAAAACAACATCATACAAACCTGAGCTATACAAACTTTCCAAGGAGATGCGAGGCCATTGTTCGCATTAGTATTTATTCGTCGTTATCATGATTTCAGTTTTTGGATACTTTACAGTTTTATTTCATCAATAAATAGTAAAATTATTAAGCGTAATATCAAGTTTTATTCAACATACCTAATTTAACCAGGACTTAAAAACTGAGGTATTAAATTAATTTTACGGAGTGTTGCGGAGTGAGAAAAGGCTGCAGTGTTGAGAATTGAGAAAGGTATGTCAAGATAGTTTGGACATATAAGAGAGGATGAACGAAAGAAGATACATGAAACGAGTACACAAGACAAGTGTGGATGGGAGAGCTGCAAGAGTGTCGACCTCAGAGAACATACGTAAATCAAACTGAGAACGTTCTTAGCATTCAACTAAAGCAGAGTTTCTTAAACTTTTCTCAGTCGCGACCCTTTTTATCACTGAGATTTTTCGCGACCCTCCAGGACCCCATAATATTTACAAAAATTTTGTGGAACTTAGAAGTTTTGCTCAATCCGACACACGAGAGTGAAACTGTCAAATTTTCGCTTGTACTGTAATATACTATTGCAGTTTTAGGTCATTAATTTTAATTTCTAATTTTAAGCCATAGAACAATGTGAAAATTTTAGATAAGTAACAGACAAAATGACAGCGACATATGCAAAGCAAGGAAAAGGAACGTTTATATTATAAAAAGAATGCGTCGAAACCTTTTCGTTTTTTCCTTTGTCTGTATTGTCTTATCGTTATCTATTTTCAGATACATTATGTACAAATATTTGGTAATTGTAAAGTTATTATAATAAATTAAAGAAATATCAAAACTGCTAAAATTTTTTGAGACCCCTGGCTGCAGTCCCGCAGTTTAAGAAACACTGAACTAAAGGATACAACAACGTATCTCGTTGTTGTATCCTTTACGTTGCATACGTATCTCGCCTACTCCTAGTGACCCTACTACGGCGAATTTGCTTCGATTTGATCATACTTAGAAAGATTTCTTTTACCGAACTGTGTTTCTGGAGTATAAAAGAGATCTCTAACGTATATTTGAATAAGTACTATCTCTTCCAAAACAAACTTGAAGTTGTTTTAAACTTATTTTCATTTCCTTTCCCAGAGGGAAAACTCGTAGCAACGTTTGGGCTGGCAACCCTTTTACAATAGGTTGTAATAAACAGGAAATTTTTCATGATCATATAAATTTTGACGAGGACCAATTTTCTTATACTGTCCCCAGAAGCCTAACCAATTTTTAACATTACCAGCTAATGTGGGAATTTTTGATTTAGGGTATGGAATAATGTATTTGGGGTAGTAGTCACTTCAAGAATTAACACTCTCTTCTTTCTCCCTTAGAAATGTCGCCAAGTGGTGTTTTAGAACTCACCATTTGACAATATAAGATTTCGACTCTCGAACTCTTTTTCAATTACATCCTCTGCGTTGCCCGACTCAAACAGAACATTTTAAAATTGAACTTCATTTCTGGAATGCAGTTTAGAATACATTTATTATTAATATTGCTTTACAGGAATTATATTTTTTTTTTATTTTCTCATCTACTAGTAAGCCAAATTCACATTTTTGATACTCGTTGTACGCAGTTGTAAACAATCTTCTGTTCTTGCGGGAACCTTTTAGTTTTTATATCGCATTTCCATTTTGCTTAAAAGCTTTAAATAGTCACACAATTAACAGAGAATGGAAATTCGATACTACAATAGTTCTGTCACGGGACGCCAAATGTAGGGCGAAGTTACGCTTTTATTTACTTGGGCTAGAACTTCGACTGTTCATAATATAACTATAATAATACTCGAACTAATATAATCCCTATTCACAAGACACTAAGAAAGAAAAAACATTACTCAAGTAGACAGCCACTTGTTTATTTCTTCTTAATTACCGCATATTTTATAGATAGCTATTTCACAACACTTTCTTTACATACATATAAAAAAAAAAAAAAAAATCTGAAATTTTTCAGATTTTAAATTACGTCCAAAGGGGCGTTTTTTTAACGTTTTGAGTGTTACCTTTATTTATTAAATATCATGTTCTTTGCACTTAAACCATAAAATTCAGTTCAAGAGCAATATCGCAAAATAATGTTAAATTAAGCATATCTTTAGAATTTCCGATATACACAGTCTCGCGAGCTGGAGATAAAAGTATTTTTTTTCTATATAACGTTGCCATTTCTCGCTTTTAAAGCATTGAGTTTGTAAATCAAAAAATTCGTTAAAGTTTAGTTTTACAAAATATAAAATCTATAATAAACAAATTCCAAATTTGGGATTTCAGATGCCCATATTCGCAGTAGGATTTCGTCATTCAAAATTCGATGGCTCTATGTACCATTGTTTTATCACAATGCGAGAAATAGACAATCATTTATGCAGATTTTTCATTATTTAATTTCTTTCAAATATAATGCAGGACTCTAACATTTTGTGGCAACAGTTTGAAAAGTGAACCGACGTTTATGAGTCCGACGCAAAATGCCAAAACGAAAGCAATAGTCCTTCGGGACTGAAATCCCTTTGGACTAACTAGAACAACAAATGTGATGCCAATACAAAGAAAAAAAATACCATAGCAACCGTTGCTAGGTGAACTGGTTGCGATAGTTTGAATCGTTTTATTACTTTTGGAGAAATCGTTTAATTTCTGACACCTTTGCTGACTGAAAACTTTCTTTTTGTTATATATGTAGAAATTTATTAGTTGAATTTATAAGTATCTTTTTGAAAATAATAATCATAAGCATTATCAATTAAATTCCTTCCCTAAAAGTCAAAAGCAAAACTGCACTTTGAATTAAAAAATAATGAAGGTTGTATAATAAAATCAGACACGGAAAAAATACTTTTGCTCGTTTAGGAGTACATAATATTATGAAAAATACTTGATAGTTTAGTGGGAAAGGGAAATTGGAAATATACATTCTAATAAATTTGGTGATGCAGTTCTGTTTAGGAAATTTATCGAAATTTAAAAATTTCAACAGGAAGTTCGCCACTAGAGATGAAATTGAAGGCCAACAAAAATTACGTCTTTAATTTTTGAATAGAATATTAGTATCTAATACTTTTATTATTAAATGGGATAGCTTTGCTTGTAATTACTGTTGTACTGCGGTTTTCTTTATTCAGTATTTGTCAAGGAAGGCAATGACACTTTTGACAGTTTTCTCCAAACATTTTAGTTTGCCAGTGTTGGGGTGATTTTCTTCATTCAGAAGCAGCACATTTAGGTAATGCATTTGAAACTGCTTTCCTTCTTCTCCTATTCTAGTAAGTTTCCAGCTTACCAGTGGCTGAGCGGTGGGCTCGAAAGTTGCTGAACACTGGTAGTTTGGTCCGGGATTCGAATCCCACTAACGGGCTTGCTGCATGATAGTTTCCGTGGTTTTCCCCATGCATAATGTGTATACGAGCCATTTCCCTTAGAAAGTCCTCCACGAAGGCATCCCTTTCCTTAGCCGAGATAGTCCTTGAGAGCTTTGCCATAATCAAAAATATAATAAACCAAGATTTACAACTTAAAAAAGCTAAAAACATTTAAAGCTATCAGATTTTGTATTGCACCCAAAGGGGCGTTTTCTTATTTGCACATGCATACACGTTTCGAGAGCATTTGGGCTAACGCCTCTTTGGACTAAAAATATTTAAAAACACAATATCCTTAGAATTTCCAGTAGACAGTTTAGCGCACTGGAGATAAATTAACGCCACTGGTGGAGTTTGAAATAATACATCCATAATTATTTATATATTTATTTAATGACGTCTCTAAATTAATAAACTAATAATGTCTCTAATATCCGCATGTAATTTTCATGTAAACACACAGAAAAGAAAATGACTTATAAATGATAACTTGGCAGTGTAATCTATTGTAGGCACATAAATGTTGTGCAATGGATTCATTAAACATTAATATAGATTTGGCATTAGGTTGTAAGAATACGTATTTACTTTTTAATTATGTAAATATAATTTATGAATAGCATTCCTTTTAGAATTTCTTACATACAAAGTTTTTTTTTTTTTTTTTTTTTTTGTATACTATGCAACATAACGTTCAATGAAATACCTCATCATTAATCAAAAAATTGTTATTATTAATACCGATGGAAAACAAATGGGCTTTAGATGATACGCTGATAGAATGGAGGATACTTCCATTCATGTGACAATCAGTAATGCTTGCTTAACATATTTTAATTATTTTTTACAAAAATGACCTTCACTCTTTTTTTATACGAATGGAAGATTAAAAGTATCGGGTCCTTTACAAGAGCGATTTTGTCACTGCAGATGTCATATCCTTCGAATGATAAATCAAGGACATTTGAGGGATATGTTTTAAGTCATCGGCATTAAGAATGAATTGCGAAATAATTGAGGAATGCGACAGTGAACGGTACGCCAATGAAATATATAAGCTGAACGTTCATTCATTAGTATCAGTTGAAGTATTAAATTGCATGATGATTGCCGGGGTAAGTAAAAACGAATTTTGAGGTTTGTCATCTGTTATGTTTCTTAATTTAATTTGTTTCATCTACTTTTATAATATGCCCGGAATAACAAAAAGTAAAAAGGTGTTGAATTTTTCTATAGCTGTTATTTGTATGCATATTTATACTTAACATAAAGTGTGACTTAAATACAAAGACCGAATTTACAGACAGATGTTTTTGATGTAGCATTTGGCTCGAGTATGCTTCATATTTGCTAATATTGCCTTGATTTATCAAGCGGTATGTTTTAGGAAATGAAAATAACTTAACGGTAGCTAATGAAATAATAACTTAATGTTTTGTGAAATGAAAATAACTTTAGGATAAAGCTCATGTATCAAAAACTGTAATCATATAAATATTTCTGTGTGTTTTCGTAGTAATTCATTAATCACCTTTAAGTTACCACATGCATAGTCTATAGCTTTTACAGTAAAAAAAGGCGAATTTCATGAGGCAACTGTCAAGCAAATCTTGAAAAATTGCAACTTAGAATTTCTTCTCACGAATTTCCAAAATGTCAATTAAAATTTGCGATTTACAATTTAGATCAACGTTCTCAGGAAGTTTCGCTCTGTACAATTCCATTAACAATTCGTCGAAAAATTTACACTAAAATTTTTTATAAATACATAGATAATTTTCTGTAAACAATTTAGATACAAATCAGTGTCATAATTTACCAGTAGCTTGATAAATAATCATTATATTTAAATTAATAAATTTTTTATAGTTAACTTTTGTTATTTATTCTTTTTATGGCTTTCCAGTTGTTGTTATTCTAAGATTTTTACAGTCTGTGAAATTTCTCTGCGAATAAATATTTTTAAATTAACATTTATAAAACAGTCAAATTCCAGTACATTATCACGCTATTTCAAGATATTTAGATTTCTAAATAAATAAATATTGTTTTAGTGTACTGTACTGTAAACTCATACATTTTCTGCAGGACGGTGTATCTTGTCCTATAACAAGTTTTAAATTCAGAAAACGCATTTTGATAAAGCTAAGGACTTTCTAAACGTAACTGCAGATTAGTTGCACTCTTATATTGCGTCTGTCTTTCCAACTGGAAATGAAATCTTCCAGCAGGACAACGCCCGATGTCAGAAGGCTCGATTTGTGTTCGAGTGGTTCGAGAAGCATAAGGATGAATTCCAGTTAATGTCCTGGTCACCTAACGCGCCGGATCCTAACCCTATAGAGCATATTTGGGATGCCATGGAACGAGAGCTCAGAGCCGAAACAACACCATGCGTAAGCGCTGCTCAGACATTTAGTACAACCGGTCTCCAGTCATCTAACAAGAACTTGTGGCATCCATGCCAGAGCGATTTGTAGCTGTTTTGCAAGACAAAGGGCGCGCAACGCGTTATTGAATAGAGGGTCATAATGTTTTGTCTCTTTAGTGTAGAGAATATTGCTAATAATAGCGGCACTAATAAAGTGCTATTTGTATTTACACATTTTTTCATAATTTTGAAAAATAATAGACAACTACAGAATGGTACGAACAAAAGTAAGAAAAAAGTAAGTTTACTTCTTTGGACAAAAAATTTGATGATTTTATTTAAATTATTTGCTAATATTAATTAACGTAGTTTTTCTATCATTTCGAAAATATCGTAGTATCGAAATAATCATAAGAAATCGTAAGTAATTGTAATCGAAGATATCGAGAGGGAAATGTTCATAAAAAACGCTACGGATGTTGATTAAAGTTTGCATAATAACACTATGTAAATACTGAACTCGATATCTTTCACATCTCTTTCATATTAAAAATGCCTTATAATAACAGCAAGACCATTTCTTAGCGTTAAATAAGGTACAAATAGCATCGTCTGGCACTAATAATGTCTCTGCGAATAAATATTTTTGATAATAAATAATACAACAGGGCTTTCTGGTTCTAAAAGATCCGGATTAACGATATTTTAGAGCAACACTTTTTGGACCATTTTTCTTCATTTCGTTTATGCATCTGATTCCTATCCTTTCATATTTCTACAAGCAGAAGTAAAGCACGCTTTGTGAGGCTCAGAGGAATATCATTTCAAATCAAGGCGAGAACATTTGCAGCTAAAACAACTCATCAATTTAAAAGTTATATTGAAAGCCACTTTTACAGTATTTGGAACGTTCTAGCTCTCTAGCGACTTCTGAATGCCATTAGCGTAATATATGTATTATTTTATTTCGACCGCGTAGCAAGGAAAACTTTTGATTAAATGCACATTTTCTGATAAGTGGTGTGATGCTTCGTTCAGGTCCACATACTGCTGTAACATGTATTTCAAGAAGTAGTTTCAACATTTTAACTTTGTTTTGGAGTTCTTAGTCTAATTTAAATCTGTTAATGAATTCCGAAATAAAGCAACTATTAGATTAGTAGAAATTTTAGTATTCTTTTAAATTGCAATTTAAAAGGGTAAATTTTTATTTTGTTTATGGTGTAAAAGGAGAGCTTTTCTAACTGTAATGTGTAGAGACATTAGGAATTTTTGGAAGCAGGGAAGATGAAAAATTAGCAACTCCTTCGCCGGGAATCGAACCACGGACTTCTGAAATACGCGCCAAGCGTGCAGACCACCACACACCGAATGCGGGGGAGAATTACCTTATACACTCTCCCTTTTAAATTTTAAAGGGCGACTGGGGGTTTTATGGGACCCAATCGTCAATCGTCAAATCCTGGGTGGGGAGAATCATCATCCACCACCCTTATAGTTCGGGAGCCACTGTAGAGACATTAGGTTATTTGGAAGCAGGAAAGATGAAAAATTAGCAACGGCTTCGCCGGGAATCGAACCGAGGACCTCTGGAATACGCGCCCAGCGTGCAGAGCTCCACACCGCAAAGGCATGCCAAGAAGGGGGGGAGAAATAACTTATAACAATAATAGGCTTAGGTCACTTAATTCTACGGTCTCTACATAGTGTAAAATAAGGCGCTATGTTTTATACCATGTAAATTTTTTTTTGCATAAGTGTACGTAATTTATTATATAAAAGATGTTTCTCTATTTTGTAATAATGCCTTTAATTTTAATAGCATATTTTCAAGACATAATTTGAAGAGGAACTTGAATTTATGTTAGAAATACACTCAGAATAAAATTATATTACTTAACCAGGAGGATTTTATTTTTTCATGAAATAAGTACAATTACTTCTGGATTAGAATATAATTTTAATTGCAGGTAGTTGCATTGTAATAAGGTGATACACAAATAAATACTGAGATCTGCAAGTAAGTGCATAAAGTTACTCCTTAATTACACCTAAATCAAATATTGGGTAATGTCCTCCCAGACGGACTTTCGTATCATTCTTAACTTAAAATTGAATAACACAAAGTACAGCAGGAGTAAAACACTTATTTATACTTCGACTTCAAACTAAAATGAAAACTAAATAACAATCAGTGCAGCACTCTGAGAGTTTTGCGCCAGGGACACAGCGCTCCTAGTCTCATCTCCGAATACTGCCTCACATAGTTTAGATCCTCTTTCGCTATTTAAGCTTATTTAGTTCGTATTTCCGGTGAATCGAGGAAAGTAGACGTGAAGGTAAGTTTTAACATAGGAAAATAACGTGGTAATTCAAATAATTCTTACAAATACAGAGGCCGTACGCAAAGTTTTTGACGAGTTTGCTTATTGATAGTTAAAAAAAAGTCTGCTTTTTATTTTTAACTTTAATTACACTGTTTTAGAAACAAATCGAAGCACCATGAAGGAAGTGGTTGTTTTGATGAAATTGAATATGCGTATAGCTCATTCACAAATAATAAAATGTTTTCAAATCAAGGTCATAGTACCTGTTAACGGCTCACAATCAACCATTGAGTGTTCAAATTAGTAGTTGGTCGAACCGCCTCTGGCGGCAATGTATGCTTGAATTCGTCGAGGCAAGGAGTCCTAAAGGTTCCTAATGTCATCCTGCGACACATTCTACCAGGCATTCATCAGTTGTCGCTCCAGATCTGCGATATTTTGTGTGCCCGAATCTGGTGGTCTATCATGTCCCAGACAATCTCGATTTATACCCAATTATATACCCAGTTTTCTACCCAATTTTCAAATACGAAATACTTTCTCTTTATCCAAAGTGTCATCAATCAGTGGAACTACATCAAGACAAAGCATGAATCCACACGTCAAAGTCCAATGGAAAAAATGGAACAAGAAACTGTTATCCTACCCTTCACTCACATCCCTACTAAATTTCCTGATGTATCACATATGGAGTTTTAGGTTTTGGTCTTCTAAAACGCTTGTTGTCCAAACGTCGACCTATGACCCTCTTTGGACTTTGGACAATTGTTCAAAAGGAATGGGATGAAATATCTCTTCTGATACTATATTGAGGCTTTATTGTCTTAAAAATTAAGGTGTACAGAGATTGTGAAGAATAAGAGTTATCAAACAGAGCGTTTAAAATACAGAAATTTTAGGTAAAATATTTCTGTAAATACATTGAAAATCCCCTAAAAGTGTGTGAACAGCCTCTGCATGAACATTTATTCTTAGCGTGTGATCTGAAGTAAAGTAAAACGCAAAGCATATTATCATACGAAACATGGATGATGCATCATAAGACTAGCACAGTTGTTCGCATTAACATCTGACAATGAGAACAGGAATTTGTTGAAAAAGGAATAAAAGACGAGATACAAAATTGTGATGAATAGTTTGAAATAATGACATAAAATACAACTTGAGCTTCTAAGTCCTATGATATGATGTAGGATTCAAATTCAAAAGCAAATTTATTGCGAAAGGTTGTTTTCCTTTCAACCACAAAATTCAGTAAAGGTATGTGCAGGAAAGTCCAAAACTCCATTTCATTTCCCGAAATTAACTTAAACAAATTTTGTTTCCCATTTAAAATATTAAAAATCTTCGCCAGCTTCAATGCCTTGCCTCAAGCAATGTGTCCAGTGTCCGTAAACAACCGTCCTTCAGCTATCTACTTGCATCTGGATTTAATGATACCATTTAGAATTATTGTTGTTTGCATGCAAGGTAATAATGTGTTTTGATAAAAGCCACATATCAGCTAGTTCCAGAGAAGAAGAATATAAGAAGCTAGAAACAAATTGATTCCAGCAGTGGACAGGGAATGGATAAAGGATGATGAATTCATCGATTCACATTCTGACAGAAAGCAACACCATTATAAGTTCTGAAAACCTAAATGTTCAAAGGAAAACTTTAACCGAGTTAGAAATTACTTCTGCGAAAACAAACGCATATTATTACATATTAAGTAATCGCTTGAAGTCTGTCGAAGAAAATTTGAATATTCAGTAAATTTGAGCTATAAATGGACATAGTATTGTATCAAGACAATGAATCCAACTGAAAAACGAAACAGTACATAAAAACGCGTATCTGGAAAAGTTGGATGAACGAATACTATCAGTAACAGATTTTATACAAGATAATTCTTTAGATATTCTTTTATCCTGGTTAATAAAATTTGAATGCTAATAGACAAATTAATCAAATGCGTCATTCCATTTTCGTTTGGGCATGGTCTTCATTGTTCTTGTAACTCTAGTTTTGAAGCATAATACATTATAAAGCAAATCATCTTATTCATATGAAGATATCCATCTACAGAGTGAGAGAATAGATATTTCTGCTTACAAATATTTATTGCTTGAAAAGTATTATAATTACATACATATCGTTTCAAACGATTTATGGAATAATTAATTTTTTGAAGACTTTAACAAATTCCTTCGTAGCTTGGAAAATGTCAAGTGGCTATTTCAGACTCACCACTTACTCTTCAGTGTTTGCTCTGTAACACTTAACGCATCTGTTATTTTGCAGTTTAAAGTGTCAGCATCTGGTGTGGTATGTTCTTCTTCCAAATCAAGAATGATGTCAATATTCTGATCATTGACTGTAGGCATGCCACTCCTTGGAAGGTCGCTTATGTTACCAATTTCCTTAAACTTTACCGTTTCCTGATCCTTTTAACATCTGGAACAAAATTCCAAACAAACGTAGATGGGCGATTTAGTTTCATGACAGCACAAAATACACTTAGATTTTTGTTCATCGACGCCGTTTCGTTAATAATTATTCCTTGGCGTCATCTGTAGCATGATAGAAAGAGCTATAATAATAGGATTATTTAGTTAAAAAACACTTTCATTTCTATCTTTCATGGTTTTTTAGTGAACATTTTTGTAATTAGGGAATAACCTTTTGCTTACTCTGCATTTGCTCTTTTAGCTTACCGTTTGTTTATTCCTTACAAAATTTGTCTGTCTCGAGAGATGCAAGCATTCTCGGTGATGGAAAATAAGAAAGGTTATAATTATATGTAATATGTTTAGGTTAAAATTCACATTTTAAATTCAAATTTTCTTTAACAGCTAGTATCCTAGATTAGAAAAGAGAAAAGAAAACATTGCGTGTGGCGTGGATCAATACTAATCAATGTTTATTGTGTTTAGCAATATTTTACAATGTTTTTAACCTAACATTGTGTACAGTGAATTTTTTGATTAATTTCATGAGCTGATTTATTTTGTTAACTTTATTTAGCGCAAACTTTGTGTTATATTGTAAAACAGATCAATAAAATAATTGTTCCCCCTCCGTTTGATGCTTATTGAATATCATTTATTTGTTACTTAATTTCTTTAATTTTGGCTTAATATCATCGCGAAGCTTCAAAGTGCATATACAACATTAAAGTTGGATTTATTCTCTACATTTTAATTATTCCATTCTCATTTCCATGCAGCTCACACTGTAACGATTTCAGTCGTTCTCTTATTTGATTCATTAAAGAATCAGGGCTGTGCTTAAAACTTCCATCTACCTAAAACATTTTCATTGTATGATAATGAATACTATGAATTTCTTTTTATGTTTTATCTCATAGTAATATTGTGTTAATGATATATTGATTCTTTATTAAATCCATGATTATCCATGATTATTATTATTGATGATCATTATTCCCTATTAAAATTTATAAACTTTAACTGTATAAATCTTGAAAGTATAATGGTACAAATAAACCCAGCATCACAGAAATATTCTTCGGCCCAAACGTGCTACAAACGTAATCGCATAAAAAGTATCGATTAATTTCAATACCTCTAACGAATGTACTTATTCGCCAACAGATTCTGAACTAATTTTTGATCAAAGTCAACAACGCAAATTATTTACAGATATTAAATATAATAATAATTTTACATAAAAGTAAATACTTTTTATTCAAACAGTTTCGTATGAATTGATTTATATTTGTTAAACATATTTCTCCTTAAAGCATGATAAAATACTTTACAGCTTATTGTTTCCTGCATTATATTTGCTGCTGCAGTACATGCTACAAGTGATTTATATGGAACTTCGGTAGTAAACACAGGAATCAGTTCAAGCTCCAGATATCAAGATGTAAGTGTTTAAATATTTTTGACTTTTATTTTTATTGAATTATTTTTTTTACATTCGACTACTTACTAACAAAAATCATATTACTAGTCTTTTAAACTTTTTTTGTAATAGTATATTTTTAATGTAATGCTTTTTATGATGTTGTGTTATTGACTTTATCGAAAAAATTTTTATATGAAAGATGTCTGGTAAATAACACTTTAACATTGATATCATATGATTGAATGTAAAATTCATTTTAAATCTAAATATTTTTATTTTACAGAAGTTGGGAAATTACGCTTTTAGCTATAAAATATTAGATGCTAAAGGAGCTTCAAATTCTCGTTCTGAAGTGGGTGACGCTCATGGCAACAAGAAGGGGTCTTATACTCTTCATGATATCGATGGTAGAGCCAGGCGTGTTGATTACATTGCTGATGGGCATGGCTTCAGAGCAGTTGTGAAGACCAATGAGCCTGGTACTGCCTTCAGTAAGCCTGCATCAGTTCTCATAGATTCTCCTTATGCTCCACCTACTGCTCCTTCTTCTGTTTCCACTATTACTAAAGCTCGACTAGACCCAGGAGTTGTAGCCCATCCAGTTGCTCCTGTCATAGTAGCTGACTCCGGTGTTTCGCATCATCCTGTTACACACTACACGCCAGAAAATCGTGTCTTTTTATCTGGGTATGACTCTTTAGTAAGTCCTTGGATAAATTTAGGAAGTTCTACATATGATTCAGCAGTCCTTCCGCACCATGAGTTTGGATTTCAAACTTTAGGTTATGGCAATGGAGCGATGATTCAACCAAATGTAATTCATAATAACCTAGCTTATGCTTATGAAAGAGCAAGACATTCCGGGTTGGGCATAAACAATTTGGTATCCGGAGAAGGTATTTTGAAATTCTCTGGATTAGGGGCCAGAAATCTGGCATATTTGAATGGATATTTTAGGAATAAGCAGTTGGGTATCGACACTTTGTCTAACAGTTATAGAAATTCTGGACGTGGCGTTACTGCGTCAATTTATTGAGCTATTTAAATTTTCAATATTTTCCTAATGATTAAGAATTTTTTTGTATTTCATGTATTTTATCTAATAAAGGTATAAGGTAAGAATGTAATTATTCATATTTCTTGAAAGAAATTAATATTTCTACCGTTTATGTTGAGTAATTTGCTTTAATAGGACAAAACATGAATAGATATAATTTTTTTCTAGTTTAACATTTGCATGTTAATATTGAAGAATATTCATACTCACACAGCTTTTTGCCTTTTCCATAGGATCTAATTTCCTTGAAAAAACGTTATTCTGGAATGAAAAATAAAATTGATTTGTTTCATTCTGTGTATTATTTAAACTTTTATGGTAAGGAAGACTCAATCATGTGACTGTTTTGCGTTTCATACTAGGATTTATTTTAAGGAATCCAAATTTTTCTGAAGAAGTGAAATTACATGATACTTCTACTATAGAGATAAGCAAAAGATTTGAACTTAATATTAGCTAATTATGTTTTGGATTGCATGTTTAGTAATAGAAAATTATTATAGTATTTTGTCGGATAAAATGATTCATATTCCCTTTTTAAAATGCTCATCTTTTAAAGAACGTTTCTTACAGGCAAAAGTCTGTACAGCATGTTTCCGAATTCGGGTCAGAACTTAATTAGCCGCTTTGCGCAATTTACCCGATACCTAATAGGACATGGAGCATGTATTTCCCCTTTGCATGGTTTTGGTCTCAAAAATGACGACCTTTGCATCTGTGGTAGCTTCGGTGATGCTGATCATCATTTGTTCGACTATACGTATCGAAAGATTATCATTTAAAAAGACCGCCCTCTGGTTCACCGACAAGCATGGGTCAGGAACACCAGCAAAAACAAACATGCGCTCAATCGCATAAGCCATTCTACTGCCATTGCTAAGAATATAGCTGCCAGCCTGAAATAATTAACAGCAACTTGTGTACACGTCTCCCCCCAAAAAGCATCAGCAACAATGTACATTTGCATTTTATTACATATTTTTCCCTCTTCTTAAAGACCTTATGTTTTATGCCCTTGCATTACTTCCTGAACATAAGTTTTAGATTTCTGCAGTTACTGAATAATTTATAGATTTGCTGAATGATTTCTCTCCCTAAACGAACATTTCATGCTAATGTTGTACCAATACGCTGTTCTGTTTCACAAATATATTAATTTAAAGCAATTTTATGCACTGTAGAGATATTAGGTTGTTTCGAAGAAGGAAAGATGGAAAATGAGCAATGCTCTCGCTGGGACTCGAACCATGGACCTCTCGAATACGTGCCGAGCGTGCTGACAACTACACCACGAAGGTACGCTAAGAAGGCGGGAGAAATACCTTATAGCTTCTTTAACTGTATTCATATCGAAATGCTTACTTTATTATTTATCATGTCCACATTTCATCACTGTGCATTCTGCTAGAATTTGTGGCTTTATAATATTGCGTCTGTGTATATGTATATGTATAACTATTTTGTTTCTTTCCGTGCAGGCAAATAATGTAGTGCACAGAACTGAATTGCCTGAACCTATTGCCTGTCATCCCTCCCTGCTAGACCTCTTCCCATTAACTGACCGAAAAGTTTCCTTTTGTAGATGCATATATTTAGTTTCTATCCCAAAGACAGACCTAGTAGATATGGCACAAGCGTAAAGTTATTAAACAGCTCCGATAATTGGGCATTTGGCTGAAAAACTAACTAAACTCAGCGAATGGATGAGCCACTATAAGTGGAAGAGAAAACAAGAAGGTCGTTCACGACGCTTTAAGAATTCTTCATTAACACAGCCTCGAAAATGATTTTGAATAATTACCTTTTTATACTGCTAAGCGATTACTTTTAAATCACGTGAATAGGAATTTATATTAAAAATAATGAAATGGAATAATGAAAATATAATGTAAAGAATTCCAAAAAAGAAGCATCAAATTTGGCCGTGTTACAGGACTTCACCAAGAAAATGTAGATTAGGCTTTTTAATATGCGACTGATTGTATTGTTTTATTTTTTTTTGGTTGTTATAAAAGACGTGGTCATTTCAAACTTTCGCAAACCTTTTAATGGGAATCGCAGTGCATAATTTCTCTTTAACTGCAAACTGTGAAAAATTAAGTAATTATTGTATTTCGCAACCATAAAAAAGATTTGACGTTTAATACGAAATGAGACAAATGTATGAGAAAGTGAGTGAGTGATTTCCTATTTAATTCACAGACTGTATTCACGAGAATTACTAATTCTTGTACGTGATTCAAATTCTAAATTTATTGCACGAAAACTTTTCTACTTAGCTTCTATTAAACGAATTTACTGAAAGGATGTAGTAAAAGTTAAGTAATTTTGGATATCCAGACTCTTGCTTTTCAGTCTCGGGAAAAAAGAAAATATTTCGAAAAGGCATTTGAAATGACACTAGTTTACCTTTAACCTTCAAAGAGTTTACAGCATATTATACATTTAATACTTCCTTTAAATTATTCAATAAACGAGTTTCCATATTTTTAAAAGTACATGCCATTTACCAAAAATTTATGAACAAATGAATATCATCACCTGTATTTCAGTCGTTTGTGATTTTTAACCCTGAAACACGTTAGTCAATATAACATCATAATTTCTCTATAAAGAAAAACAACCGTTGCAAATTAAAATTTTTATTAAACGCGATCAGATATAAAACTAATAAATTTATTTATTAAGTACTTGTGTTATGAAAAGCTGGTATTACGAAAATATGCATTTACTAGAAACATTCAAATAAAAAACTTTTAGAAGACTTCAGTTTCCATTTAATAAGTTAATGTATATAAGTATTTCTTTCATTGGTTTTTAAACGAATATAAAAATATTATATATGAAATTTAAATGCAAATTATAGACACTCACACGAAAGCATGAATGTGCATTTTCGATGTTTTAACTTACTTCTATACTTTAGCTTGTGTTAGGACATCTATTTAAAGATGTATGCATATTCTTTGAAAGGAATGTTAACAGAATTATTCTGTAAAAGTTGCTGTTTCATATTCTTAGCGTTTATTATTCCTAACTCTAAACTCGTTTTCTCCAAAAAAATTAATTTGTAGTTTTGTGCTGCTGGCACAGTGTTCTTAATCAGAACATAAAATCTTAAGCAACACTGAATTTGAGTTAAGAAATGAATAAGTTACATTAAATGGTTAAATTAATTGCTTGAGATAATAGCAAAGTTTAAACAATACACGTAGCTTTAGGTTCGAAACGCGCAAATAAAATATTTCCTCTTCGATATTTGGGCCCCCAGCGGCTGAGCGGTAAGGACGCTGAGCACTGGTAGTTCGGTCTGAGGTTCGAATCCCGCGAACGGGCTGGCTGCATGGGCGTCTTCGTGGTTTTCGCCATGTGTAACGTGTATACGAGCCAGTTTCCCTTAGAAAGTCCTCCCCAAAAGGCATCCCTCCCTTTAGGCAGCTGGCCCTCGTGTGCTTTGTCATAACTGAATAATCCAATCCAATCCACCTTCGATATTTGGCGGATGCAATACTCATTTTACATTAAGATTTGTATTTTGCGCCATGCACTGTCAACAGACACAATCTAAACTATAGTTATGAATGAAAATTTGAAAAATTTCTGCATAATATAAAAGCTATACATTTTAGGTTTTACTTTAGTATTATTACTAAAGCATCTAATTTTTATCGCATCATTTATTATAAATTACCTAAACAGCTTCAACCCAGGGGATTTAAAAATAATATTGTAATCATATATTTCTAAATATTACATTTTCTAATGGACATTTAGATTAGCTATCTAAATTTCTTTCACCGAAGTGATTTCTAGCAATTCCGTGTCTCATTAGGAAAAAATTTCCGACATTTTTATAAATTCCTTTTTACTGAAAGCCCTTCATTAGCTGGATGGTTAAGACGGCTAAACGTCGTTAGTTAAAACTTTCTCGGCTAACAAAGAATGACAATATTCATAAGGATTTTCACAGATTTATTCGGGGTTAACGTGAGCAGTAAACAGTTTTTCTTAGAAAGTCATTTCGTGAAGTCATCTCTGTTCTTCAAAAGATAAATCAAGTATTTTGTTAAAATTGTTTAAAGAACAAACCAAATCCCGCTCAACTTGTATAGTGATTAGCGTCGCTGACTACCGTCCCGAAGGGCCTGGGTTCGAATTCCGGAGAAGGCATGGATGTTTGTAAACGTACAGTGTCGGTGCGGAATGGCGACACTCTAAATATGCGGTGAGCCGAAGGTACTCTCGTGTGGTTTGGGGAAAGAGGAGAGGAGTGGAAGACCCTCGGACCCGTCCCTGCGGGGTTCTTTCCATCAAATTTGGGGGCGGAATTGAGCAAAATCGCACTGTAAGTTGCTGAAGGCTGTTGTCAATGACAGACGAGTCTAGCGCTCTTTACCACGAGGAATTTCGTGGGCTTGGGCCGATGTTATTGTTACACAAGTGAGCATAAGTAACAACAACACAAACAAGACTCGATGGCATTTTAACTTAAAGTGGTATATCTGTCATTTCAAGTAAGAATTTAATAATCCTTATTTTATGCTATTTTAATTACTCTAACTCTTTGAGGGGTAGAAAAAGGTAATTAACCTTTTCAGCAAAACTCTTGTTTTATTTACTATGTCAGGTATTACAATGAAATTCTTTGCGACGATGACGCATATTTTGTCCAAGGCGCATGAAAAAAAAAAAAAAAAAAAAAAGACCGCTTCTAGTGATTAGTGTCAGTGACCACCGCCCACAAAATACATCCCTACAAATCAGTCTCTATGGTTCTCATGGAAACAATTTTTCTTTTTCAAGCCGAGTGCATTTTTGCCTGTGCACACTGTTTCCACTTGTTCTTACAGGCTTTTTCTTGGTGCTGCAGAGTGCACATCGTCGTGATGTTGTCTTCAATGGTTGATGCTTATTTTCTTGAAGACGAATTGTTGCATCAACTACTGGTACCTAGAGATATCTATATAAATGATATAGATAAAACGATGATACCTAGAGACATCAAATTTTTAATATAGTACTCCATTCGAGCTTGGGCATCTGGAAGACAAATTTGGAATTTCTTTTATT